GTCGTCTCCATCAAATCGCTGTCAATGCCGAAGCCATTTGATTTCCCGATGGACCACATCTGGAATTATCGTCGAGATCTGGGGCTTTACGATGTTGTCAGATGTTAATGTGAATCATGTTAGACACGTAAAATTTTTGTAAACTGTGCTTTTTCTCAGCTAAATAAAACTTGTGTAGGTAATAGGAGAATTCTATTAAATCTTGGCAACAGCTCGTGGATCCATCATAATTGGATTTCTGTGATTGACATAGAGGTAATATGGGCGATGTACCATATATGTATCTTTGTTTTTACTTATTTGCAATTGAATTTTTGCATATTGCACTCGAATATTAGTATATCTAAAAGTAAAAAAAGCTTATCGATCAACTTGGGTGTTAAACATGTTGCATGTTTCTAAATTTCGAAACTTCAAATATTTGTTCTCTTCGAAATAAAAATGAAAGAAAAACCCTACGGAATTTGATAAATTTTTGAGGTTGGTGATAATAATAAGAAAAGTTTGCGGGAAAAACATAATAAGATGAGTTTGGTTATAATCCACTCATTTTGTTTATTTATATTCCCACGGATAATAACCCGAAAAACTTTTCCCATTTTCTTCCTCGTCATCTTTTCCCGAGTCTTTTCCGATAAAATAAAACAAATATCTCAGCTAGTTTAATAAACTATTTTTATACGTTCTAAATTGTGTATGACCCTAGTTCCCAAAAATAATGTGGCGAAAATCCAATAAAAAACATCGAATCCCTAATACATATTAATGAACGAGGCTTGCTAGGGACCGCTTTGGGGCAAATATACTCGGGAAGCAGCAAATAAAAACAGAAAAGCAATGATTTTTTTCCCAGATTTCCTCTAGGCTCTCCTTTGAGTTGATATATTGAAATGTGGAGATTATTTTGCAATAAAAAAATTGATATTCGAAAATGACAAGGAAGATTTTATTCGTAGTTTTTTTAAGGGATCTTCTAGTTATAATGATGAGGCGAGACAGAATGAAATTTCTCTCTTATTTCGTGTTGAGGCCAATAAGACTTAAAAATCTTTATTAGGAAAATTGAAATTTTCCACCACATTCAACTAACTTCTTCATAATATGTTCTCTTATCAGCTTAATATCACCCCGTAGTACCAACAAGTCGATATTAATAATGGCTCCTCCTTACAGCTTCATCTGACGATCAAAAGTTTGTTTCTTTGCCATATTTAGGTTCCCTCTCCATAAAAATTAAAAACTTACTTAGGCAGCATGATTTTGGAATTGTTTTCAAGACTTCGCACTCTTTTCGTACTTTTGTTGTTAATTCTAAGGATCCAATCCCCTTCATAGAAAAATCGGGTATCTATTGCTTGACTTGTCCATTAGATAATGCCCATACAAACAGGAAGAAGCTGCTTTTCAGTTAGAATTAAAGAACACATGGCTGAAGTCAACAAGGCCATCGATAAAGGTATTATACCTGAAAGATTTAAATCTTATTTTGCTAAACACATAGTCTTTCATAAACATGACTTCAACCCTGATATTGATACTAAATTCCTTCATTTTCTGGGGAAGGGCTAATTGTTGGATCTTTACGAAGTGTTTGAAATTAATTATGCTTTTAAAAATAGTGATGTCTTATGCCTCAATGATCAAATTCACCACAACTCCACTTCTTTCTTCAATTCATTGAATTTTTAGGGTGAAATTTTATTATAGTTACATCACATCGTTTCTGGGTTAAGGTATACCGTATTCCTTGTGGTACTCTGGTCAGGTACGTGTGAGCATCTGCTGCCTAATTACAGATCCCTTTTTTTGTTATGGCTACTACTATTTTTGTAAGATCCGCTGGATGTCGCTACTATAGGTTTTCAAATTTTTCTAGGATTTTAATTTTAAGTCAAATTTTTTGTTAAATCCGTGGGAATTTTAATCTCTTTTGACTTTCATTAGTAGTTAAGAACATGACAATTTTTAAAGAATTCATTTTAATGTTTTATTTGTTTTAAGTTACGTTTTTTACAATTTTTACAATTTTTTATGTGTTATGTTTTAATTTAACTATTCTCAAAATTTTATTACTTTTCAACTTATTGAAAAAATTTCTTCACACAATGGTAAGTCTTTTATTTTACACTTCTCTCAACGTCAATATCTGGCCGTTGTTTTTTACAAATTTTTCTAAAGTGTAGTTTTCTTTTTCTTTACAGCTAACTACGGCGGTTTATTTGATAAAAAAATTTATAACCATTTGATATCTGGGCTGATTTAAATAATCTTTGCCCCTGAAGATGAAACTGTCTAGTTTGGAAACTAGTGGGGCGTTTTAGCTTTAATAAAGATATATTTGTGGAAATAGACTGGGTGCTTTTCTTTGAAATTAAATTTCAACTCCACTTTGAGTCATGGACTACTTTTTCAATTTAGAATGTAATTTTGATTAAGCTTCATGTTTTTTTTCATTTTATCCATAAACTTTTTGTTTCACGAATTTCTTATTAATCCTGAGACAAAGATAGTGCAAAAAGGCAAAAACCTTATGCAAGCATAAACCTGATCCAGTCCTGTCAACAGAATTAGCATTATGTTTATATAACCATTATGCCGAAGTTTACTTTTGTCGCACATTAGTTGACATTTGAGGGGCGTAATCCATTAAATGTTTCGTTCGAAATTCATGGTTCATCCTGGAGGAATGGCCTCTACGAGGTGAATGTCATATGGTTTGTGTTTGTTCTTGCTTCACTTATCCTTATCGTCATAGTCTGCATTAAAATCATGAAGTTACTAACTAAGATTATCTAGGCCGTGTTTTAATTATTATTATATGTATTAATTATCCAAACGTTCACAAAATGTTATTTGACATATTACTATTGAAAAAAATAAATGAGGTACCTAAATAACTAGATTTTTTCAGCTTTTTAAACGACCTAGAACTTCCATAGTGTCTTTTAAATCTTTACATTATAATGTTGCTACGTGAAAGAACTGCTTTGCGCGCTAAAGACGCGATGCAATTAAAAACTCCATGGGTGCATGTATTCAATTAGAAGCAATTATAATCTTTTGAAAATTAGAAATGTGTAAAAAATTTAAATGATTTTGCTAGGTAGGTATTCAAAATGAGAATATGTTAAAAATTTAAAATGATAGTCAGCATTTAGAAATGAAAATTCACGTTTGTAATGAAGAATTATTATTACTGTATGAAAGATGAATTTGTTTTTTCCAATTATATAATATCTACTTACTCAGCTTCTTGTCAAATCCTGATTATGAACATACTTATTTTTGTTACAAGGTTTTGAAAACACTAAAATCACCATAAATGAAGACAGAGAGTATTAATACATGATACGGGTGAAACAAATTTTGTCGGAGGGTCCGATGAACTGTTGAGTGGGAATATCTAACTTGTTCAGGGCTATCTTCCACTATCGGTTAAATCTGTTCTTCATCGGCAGGTTTCATTTGGCTTGCAGTTCCCCTAAAACCATTTTGCATACTTACAGTTCCCGTATTACGCAATCTTTGCTAAAGGGGCACAATGTTCTTTCATTAGGTGCCGTCCTTTAAGGAAATCTTTCCCTGTAAATTCTGGCGGCTAAATGATTCTTCGTAAACAAGTAACATATCTACATATTCGACGTTTGTTAACATTTTGTTTTTAAAAAATAATGAATTACCTACGTGCGTTTTCAATACTTAAGTAACTGACAAATCACGAACCAATCATCTATTTGTTTTTGTGCTATGTTGCCAGATGTTTAGAAACGGAATAACGAGTAACATTCTCATGTCAAAACTTTAAAGGCCTTTCTCCTCAAAATGGCCGAGTTTGGACCCCATCTTGTTTAAACTTTTTTTGATCAAAGTGGGCCATATTTTCACGTGTTAAAATTTTTGGGTCAAACCTGATACACCCGGTATATACATACATTCATATATTCTTATTTCGTTTATTGATGCTGTAGGTCTAGCCAGAAATCAATATAGAAATCATTTCTCAAGGGCAGGCGTATAAATGCCGATATAGGTATCTTTGCATAAAATATCTCCAATAAATCAAATTTATCCCAGACCAATAAAACAACAATAAAAGTTCCGTTCCTCTGGTAGATAGAACGGGAAAAAATTCTAAAAATAAAATCTGCGCCCAGTGGCCATATTGCTGAAAATAGCCTAATAGATTTTCTCGTAAGTTATCTTCGGTCGCCCGATTGCCATCGGCAAAGAAAAAACTCTTCTTCAGCCTAGCCATAATATGTTATTTTGATATAAGGGGTCAATAGGAAATCATCCCTCACATGACAGATATATCGGCGACTGAGTCTTCCCATATCCCCCATTATCTTTTCCCATTACTTATCGATGTTGGGGGGACCTCAGATTATTTGTTAAGGCTGCAGAGGCTTTGAGAGATAAAATACTGCTAAAGAGCTTCCAATGGAACTTTTATTTGAGGTATTTCTTTTGGAAATTACCTGGATTTTTATAAAATTAATTTGAATTAGGTCAATAAGGAAATCAAATTATTTGGGTATTGAAACAACGAAAATAGCTACCTATTAACGCTTGTTACAGTTATATAAAAATAGAAAAATTCGTTTAAAAATTTAAATGGCCGTTTTTGAATAATTTTTATTAGGCTGTACGTGATTTAGATACTTTTAAGCTTGCAGGGAAAATTCAGTTTCAATATTCAATTTATGCTCATATACCATAATTCTATCAAAACTCGGCTACCTTTCTGTAAAACGCCGCCAACACAATTTATTTTCGATAAAATTATAGGCGACCTTTCGCGCCTAGCTTTTAAGCCCAACGATTAAGGGTCCTCTAAAAAGTCTATTTTAAAAGGTAGACGTCGTAATCCGGTATCTAGTTTTCTAGCAGTGGAAATTTCCCTCTGCTTCAGCATTGTGCTCAATGTTCTCTTTGTAATTCACTGCAAAGCCGTTTGATTTTATTTTTATTTTACTGGAAACCGTTTTTTGCCTTTGCAGGAAGTTACTTTAAGAAAATGTAGCAGCGATGAAAAACTAGGCCTCACGGTATGCTACAGTTCCGGTTCTGAAGTGGATACTTGTACAGAAGTATATATTCGAGATATAGCACCTCAAAGCGTTGCGGATAGAGACGGAAGGCTTAGGCAAGGAGATCAAATTTTACAGGTAATGTTAGTTAAATGTTTTATAGCATGTAAAATTCAACGCTTTCATGGAATATTTATATTATTTATTTTTGCTGAAGCTTTTTATTTGCTGGTACAACTTTGCTTAGTACCTACTTTTATTGGGCATGAATTCGTTTTTTGGTAGTTTGGTACGATATGGAATCAAACTTTGAGCAATTTTTCAAGCTAGACAATTTTATATTACTTATTTTTATTGGCCTCAATAAGTCTCATAATAGATGGTAGAATCTAATCTTGTCCGTGAAAAATTTTAAAAAATAAAGAACTAGCGAAAAGTATTATCCATTGACGGTCGTTACTACATTATATGCGTGCTCTAAGTAATCAAAAAATTGTTTTTATTAGAATAATTTAGTGAAAAATTGTAAGTAGATAGGTATATGTAGGAATTTGACACTATTTATTGCATAGCGACCATAAATCTCCTTTTAGATATGTTACAGAACATGGAATTATTTTCTCGACTAACCTATCCTGCTTTGTCAACCTATACCACGTACCCACTGAGTTCACTTGCACACAGCACTGTATGTATAAGTGGTTTAAAAAAATCAAGGTGATCAGCAAAAGCATAGAGTTCAGGTTGACGCGAATTTACAATGTAAACTCAGAATAGGGATAGGTACACAAACTACAAAATAGAAATATCATAATCATTATGAAACTTAATCTGTGGATATAGAACCAAGAACGCTCGTTATTGGCTTGGTTGGTCGGTTGGTTGTAGGGGGAATCTAGACGCTGTGGCCTTCTGTGCACTACAGACTGTTGGCTTATTGTGCACAATTTCCTTATTGCCCTACAAGAGTCGTATTCCTTGTACCAATAGCTCAATTCTTGAAAAATATCGCATACGAAATTGACGAAATTTGATTCAAATTTGACTGACAGCAATGTTAATTAAACGGGAAGCGTTCGAATTCATATCAAATCTCGTATGTGGCATGTGTGATATTTTTCAAAAATTGGGCTCCAGGGTTGAACAAGATTTTCAGGCGGTAGTCTTTTCCCGGTCTGTATTGCTCCGAAGATTCTGTATCTTTTGTTTTATAGGCCACACAGTCATATATAATGTGAGAAGCTGTTTCGTCCTCCTCTCCACATTGACTGCATTCAGTGGGTCCATTGAATATCCCCATCCTGTGCTGATGCTTCCCCAAGTGACAGTGTCCTTTCAATAGCCCTATCACTTGTAATAACTGTGTGCTATTATAGCCCTTGCGTGATTTTGTTCAGGTGTTGTATTCTAACGGACTAAATGGATGACTTTTATTGATATTCCAAACGTGGGCCTATAAATGGCGCTGCAGCTTCAGCTCTTGCCAGCCCATCTACTTTTCCGTTGCTTCTCTATCCATGAGTAGCCAGGAATTCATAGGAGTCGAACCTTGTTTTCCTCAGCAAGCTGCTTCAGGTCAGTCAGGCACTCCATCGTCATTCGGGAAGTGATACGATAGGAATCCAGTGCTTTTAGTGCTACTTGGCTATGCGTGAGAATAACTACATTTTGCTTTTTACATCCTCGCGTAAAGCTCTGTTGGATGCACTCATGTATAGCGAAGACTTTGCTTGAAATATAGTTGTTTCATTCCCCAGCGATATGCTGACATACACCTTGGGTTGTTCCCCATATATCCCTGCCACAGCTTTTCCTGCCCCCACTCTGTTTGCCGTTTTTGAGCCGTCGGTGTATATAACCCGTCAATCAAGCAACAGAGGGAGCGTTGTCTTATCTCGCATGTTAGGATCGCACTCGATCCTCAGTCTCTCAAAGTTGTAAGTCGGCTTCATGTGATGCGATCTCATTTCCAATAGTTCGTTGTCACATCACTATTGTGTGTCCGTATTTGTTCGAGTGTGGCTTCTAGACTCCTGCCGTTTCTATTTTGTAGGTCGCGAAGCTGGCCTCTTTCTCAATGAAGATATCTAAGGGCTCTAGTACCATAATTATTTCCATTGCCGCCGTGGAAGTACTACCCATGGTACCTGAGATGCATAAGCTAGCCAGTCTCTGTAGACGGTTTAGTCTCATGACCGTAGTTTTTTTTGCTCAGTCTTTTGCCACCATACGACTGCCCCGTATGTTATCATTGGTCTGATAACTTTGATGCATAGCCAGTACACCATCTTTGGTTTCAGGCCCCAGGTTTTGCCAAACATGTGCCTGCATCTCATGAGTCACGTCTTTGCTTTGTTTATAATTTTCTCGATTTGTTGGTTCCATGCCCATTTTGCGTCTAGGATTAGGCCCAGATGTTTCACTTCATTACCAGTTTTTATACTTTCACCAAAGATCTTCAAGTTGTTATGGATTCCCGCTAATCGCTTTTGTATAGGCTTGATATTCCTAAAAACTTAATTTTGGCTGATCCGTCATTCAGTAAACCTGGTCAACTCGATGTATTGATTGAAACCGACCTATTCCACCAGCTTCTTTGAATAGGCCAGATAAATTTGGGCTTTCCTAACCCTATTTTGCAAAAGACCAAGTTTGGATGGGTGGTGTGTGGGGCCATGGAATTTCAAAACCCTGGTTCGAAAATTTGTTATTTGAGTATAAATGATTATGTGCGGAAGGATAGTAGGTTTGACTCTCCCCTGTGGACAACCTCGAGTTGCAGATACCTTCAAGGTCTCTCCGTATAGAGTGGTTCGAATCTGTCGGCTTTGGAGCATGTTTCGTATTCACAAGTGATGTCGTCAATTCCATGTCTTTCAGCCGCTTTGACCGTCCGTCGCAGCAAAGGATGCGTTATCAAAGGTTCCTTAAATGTCGATGAATGCACACAGAGCGATCTCTTTGAGATGAATGGATCGCTTAGCTCTGGATATGAGACTGTGCAGTGCAGTGTCGCAGGACTTGACTGTTTGCTACGCGTGTTAGTGTTCGTTATCGGCTTGGAAACGCTTCTAGAGGCCGATATTGCTTGACATTTTTTGTGAACCATTGAATTCGGTACTGTCCACAAACATGTTCCTGGAAAAATAATTGACCTCTTTCCGTTGTCATTGCAAAAATCGTAAAAACTATTATGCCCTCCTATATCTTCATTACTATTTTTCCATTGCAGTCTCCCATGATCATTTTGATGTCATCTATCGCGCTTCTGCCATATGCACAATCAAATTGGTATTAAAATTCATCTTTACCTTACGTGGGTGTTTATGAGGCTTAGGTTATTTCTTCCAATACCACATTAAACATAAAATACTGTCTGGGAAAAATGTAATCTGGGTTTTTCATTTTCCAATATACCCCAACCTATGCAGATCAATAGAACTTTGGAAACCACTAGGTAGGTGTTTGATAGGGGGTGAAAATTATTAAGTCAAATAATCAAGGCAGTTTTCACTAATTACTATCCAAACTATGCTCAGATTTCTTTAGCAAAACCACGAATAACTAAGGGTTATTTTGCTTGCACCTCTAAACTCTAGGGGGAAACTGAAGTATGGGAAAGAACTAGCTTGTAATTAGACTCACGTAGCTTTGTTCACTTCGCATTATGAATTATTTATTTGTCTCGAAAAACTCTGGCTCTGCCGTCGAAGTCGCGTCGTTAAAAAGTATTCTCAGGAGAGGAATTTTTTTAAATAATAATTTTTTGAAATAAATAGTCCAAACCCAAAGAACTATTAATTGATAGGCCTACGGAAAATATATTAATACGAAAACTGCTCTATCTTTAGAGTTGATTTTTCTGTTATCCAAATATCTTTTTGCTTTTCCCAGTGCCTTTTTGTTCCACTAGTTTCAAAAGAAATTGGCGCCAAATTTATCCCACACAAATTCGAAAAATCGAGACGACACGTGAACGAAAACGTAAATATAATACTTAATCCCTTTAAGATGCATATGACAAAACCTGGGAAATGCAAAAGTCTGTCTGCTTCTGACAAAGAAAAATATTTTTCATACTTTGCATATTTCTTTTCCACTTTGGTTCAGCGTACGCTTGGAATATATACAAAAGACATTGCAAACTAAGAGCTTTCAATATGTTGCCAATATCGGCAAGTACAAGTAAAAGATTCAATAGAGTCTTTTCTCGAAAAGTAGTCATAATGTGCTGAGGTTCTTTTTGAAAGTTTCCCTCAATTTGATCGCATGTGCACTGATAAATTTTTTCAGATTTTCCTGGTGCAAAAAAAAAAAAATTATCATTAACTTTTGAGATTGCAAAACTCTCGACACCCAAAAAGAAATTCCTTATCTGATCTTAAAGCGAGCGCCAGCGTTTCATTTTATGGAAAAAAAATTGTCGGAAAAAATCGATCAAACCTATCTCCGAAAATCCTTTGAGCAATGGTGTGAAATAACGTCCTTATCCTCTATCTGCTTTTTACAGGTAAACGGAAAAGATGTTGCAAATAAAGAGGAGACCGAGTCGCTTTTTGCAGAAAATAGAAAAGCAGTAACGTTGTTGGTCAGCAGGTGCTACAACAGGGTACGTTGAAACCTTGAGACTTAATAATATTTTTTTTTTTTTTTCAAAGGCGCAATCACACTGACAAAGTAATAAAAACTTTTAGTATCACACAATGACTACATGGTTTGGGGGCTTGGGCATCCATCTTCAGGATAAAGTCTAAATATTATAAAAAATATATATATTTGAATGTTCGTTGACATGAAAAAAACCTTTCCGGGAATGGTCGACGAGTGTAGGAAGTAGAGAAAGGCTATCAACCGTTTTAGGCAAATTCCCTTTTCTCCACTTCTCGCAATTAGGAACCGTTCCTGTCTAGTTAGGTCGTTTTTATGCCTATGAGTACAGCCTTTCTTTCAAATTTAAATTTGTTAAATTTTAACGAGAATTTTGATATTCAGAATATGGAAAGGCATATAGTATTTTCCCCCCGCATAAGTGTTTGAAAAATGCGGAGATTGTGTGTTCCAAATCACCTTTGAAATATTTATGAAGGATATACTAAAGGTTATTATTTTTTTGTCAAATTCTTTCATTGCTTACTAAACAAAGTTTGGGCAAAAACTTGCTTAAATTTAATGTAATTTGTTATGTTTGTGGCGCCATCTATTTGAGTTTTAAAAAATAACTGTATCGATTAGTCGTCCATTTGGCTAGAGAATAACATGACAGCATAATATAAATTTTTCGCGAGCATTTAAAAGAAGAAATCTTTATTTTATAATCTATTTTAGAGCGAAGAATATCTAGATGTCGAGCCAATAGATTCACTAACATCGCACAATGCCAAAAGCGCAGCTTACCAAAATAGCTTAATCGAACAACTCGTTCAGCAACAATCAGAAGCACAACTTTCCCCGAAAAATGAACAGCCGCCACCCAAAGTTCCGTCACATTTTATTCCTGAGAAACTCAATCTTACCAATTCCTTGGTACGCTCCAAAATCGACTCAATCAATCAGGAAATTTCGCAACTTGACTTTAGGATGCAAAATGTTTCTTTCAAGAGCGACAAGCGTAAAGCTCCGCAACTTCCACATATTCCTCCACCCGAATCTGATCCCGAACATATTTATGAAACAATTCCTGAGGATTCAGTTATCGATGGCGAGATTGAACCAATTTATTCTTGCCCTTATGAACCTGGTGACGATAATATGATAGAGCAGTGGCTCAAAGTTCATCAGGAAGACGTGTGGGTTGGAACATCCATAAAGGATGTGAATAATGAAATAGAAGCGAAGGAAGAGAAACGACAGAAAAGTAAATCAAAACCACCAAAGAGCAATAGTAGTGGTGAAGAACATGAAAATAGTTCCAGCGCCTATAATACTGGAGGATCTTCTAATAGCAATCCATTGACTTTTGAACTTGCCGCTACGCAGGATTCTAAACAAAAGAATCTATACAGGTAAGTAAAACTATTATTTATATTTTATGTTTAAATTTATATTTGTTTCAGATCCACTCTTATTCTTTGCCCTCTGGAAGAAAAAGATTACAACATCAAAGAAAAAGAAGCCAAGACGACATGCGAATCATGTAAAAGGCAAGCAGCCAAGGCGAAAAAATCTAAATCCAGTCCAAAAATTGTCACTGCGTCTTCACCAACTAAACGCGTCGGGCTCAGTCCAGCTCATGTTTTGTCAGACACTATGTATACGAATGGTGCCAACTTGCAACACACTATGCTTTTACAGCAACAACTCTTCAGACAAGCCTTAGTAGCTCAGAATGCTGAGGTAGGCGGCATTAGACCTACTACAAGTTTCACGTCTCCCACCCTCAGCCAGTATCAATTTGTTAGTGGATCCCAGGTTAGTTTTTTCAAAACTAGACAATGTGAATCTTTAGAAAAATAACAGGTAATTAATTTTTATATTTTCTCATTAGGGCTATACAGCAAACCATCAGGACAAAAGCGTGGAAACCACAATGGAGTGGAAAGTCAAAAGGAGACCAGATGGTACTCGATACATTGCAAGGAGGCCAGTGAGAAATAAAATACTAAAGAATAGGGAGATCAAAATATCAGAAGAACGTGCTGGACTCACGACTGAGGATGATACTATTTCTGAACTTAAGGTAATTGTGTAGTTACAGATGAAATGCTTTTCATATTCAAAGGCTCAGACGATCCATCCAATTCTGAATGAGTTTATGGCAATAGCTGTCAACAGTATGTTATCGTAGCATGAAATGAGAATCTACAAAGCTCAACTCTGTGCTGGCGTGAAATCAAATAACCAATTTCCCAGCAAAAAGCATTCTATGTGCTGCATTGTTCGCGATGTGAAGCGATCATTATAATTTTAAAGGACCTTCCTCGGCGTTATGTAATCAATCTCCCTAATGCTCAAAGCATTCGTAGATGATTGATTGATTGATGAAGCAATTGGAAAGAAACAGAGTATTTCGTGCAAGAACAAGGGGGCTTGCTTGGAACAACTAAAAAATGTGCAGAGGCGACCTGCATAGATACCGTTCTGAGTGCTTCAGTTGATAGGATTCTCACTCAAATCACCTCATTCAGCTTCAAAGCTTTTATGAACGCAAGTCAGCTGGATGGTTCCATGGATGGAAGTCCTTCCTGTTCAACGGAGCAGCATCCGAAGCACGCAATTCGTTTGTTCACGATCGCCTCGCACTCCGTGAGAAGGTCTTCTGGAGTTTCCTTCCCTTCCTCACAGGACCGGCAGCTGTCTTCGTTTTTGATTTTAATTCTCTCAGGGTGCCCTGTTAACCGACAGTGGCCTGTAATAAGGAATCCACTGAGAATGCGAAGATTGTTTTCACTCAGGGATATGAGGACTTTTGATCTCCCTGATGCCTGGGTGAGGGGCTCAAGAAACATTTTTGATTGCCTTAACCCTGGAGCCTGATCTATTTGATCAGCTCTTTATTTCTGAATGCTTCCTTATATCTGTGCTTCCCTATGCCACAAAAAGGCCCTGGTCTTGAAAGCGGAGTTTGTGCTCCCAATTTCGCCAACTGGTCCGCCTTCTCATTACCTTGCGATCTTCATATGTCCCGGTATCCACTAAAGGAATAGTTTGTTATTTTTTCCCAGTTTGTGTAACTTGTTCAGGCATTCCCAAACCATTCTGGAGCTGATTACTGGTAAGCTCAGCGCTTTGATAGCTGCTTGACTGTCTCAGAATATGAAAATGTCTCTCTTTCTGTAGTTTCTGTCAATATTGAACTGTAGGACATCTACTTATAGCGTATACTTCCGCCTGAAATATGCCTGGGTATTTTCTCATTACTTCGGAGAACTTGATTCCAGGCCCAAGAACTCCTGCTCCGGACCGTTGTTCAGTACTTGACCCATCAGTATACTATTTTACGGCTTTCTGCTGCATTGTTATCCTCTTTAGAAGATCTTCATGGCATGATGTAAAACATCAGCCAAGAAAGGGCTTACAAGGTTTATTTGCTGGCTACAGACATCCAAACTGACTCTAAACATTGACAAAACAAACTATATGGCTTTTTCACTTACCTCTGTAAATCGACCACATTTTACCAGCATAAACTTGGGTGAGGGGTACATTGGGGAGGTTGAGGCCACCAAATACTTGGGTATCACTATTTATAGGCACCTCATATGGGAAAAACATGTTGCACGACTTACCCAATAATCGAAAACTCATTTCTAGGTTTTATATTTTAAAACATATCCTAAGCCAGAATGTGTTATTGATGGTTTACAAAGCGATGATAGAGTCGCTGATAAGATATGGCATTCCCATATGGGGTGATCTGCACAACAACGCTATAAGACAATTTAACATGGTCCAAAATTATATCCTTAAGGTTGTTTATGGAAAGAACAAAAGGTATGTGCATGAACGTCTATGTTTAACTATCTTCTATAGAAAAAAAAGATCACCCCTATAGTACCAGCAATAACCAAAATGGGCATCTCATAATACCAAATAGCACTTAGGTTATTGCTCGTCTAGCGGCCTCCACCACGATGTGAAGTGGTGCGAGACCTACGATTGTCTCCATAACTGCTGTAGGAGCAGGACAAGTTTTCATTCCGCCTGTATTGCATGTGCACTCCAGGCGCTGTAGTTTGTTGAGAGCTGCTTTTATGTTCTGCTTCTCAACTTCTTTGAACCAGACTATCGATCCATATAGTAGGGTTGATCTTACTATCATGGTGTACATCCATCTCAAGATCCCTGGTTTGCATCCCCAGGTTTTGCCTGCAAGGTTTCGGCATACGATGAGAGCCCTTGTAGCCTTGGTTACAACTCCCTCAATGTGTTTGTTTCATCCGAGTTTGCAGTCCAGCATTATGCAGATATATTTGACTTCCGTCAGCGGTGTGATATTAGTTCCGTGTATTCGGATGTTCTTTATTCTAGGAAGTTTTCTCCTCCTAGTGAAAGGCACCAAATGCCTTAGATGAATCTCTGACTTTTGACTGTGAAGCATCTCGAGACAAAAATCAAAATTTTTCCACACATTCTGAGTCAAGATTAGTGCAACGGCACCAGAAGAACTCAGATTGCATCAGGGCCGACCCCAGGATATGCACTACTGATTCCACTTTTGTTGCGCAAATCGTTAATTATTGCCCAGGTTTCTCTAGACATTGGGAAATTCTAAAATACGTCTGGGGTCATGTGCCTGTTCTGCAACTCTTATATTAGTGAATTGTTCGGAAGCAGGTATCTAGTTACAGCACGAAAAAATTTGTTCATCTTAGCGAAACTTCCTCAGATAAGTAAAACTGCTCAAGTTTGCAGCAGATCGTCTCAAAGTTTCCATATACGCCAAAGTTTTCTTCCCCGCCTTCATCTAATCTGTCTCTTAGCGCGGGCAAAGATACCTGACAGTACTACATGAAAATTTGTTCAATCTTGTCTATCTGATAATCACCTTTTCATTCTCTATCTAATACATTAATTTTTTCTATAGATTGGACGTTATTGGACCAAAGAGGAACGCAAAAAGCATCTAGAAAAATCTCGAGAACGAAAACAAAGGCAAGAAATACTCACGGCATCGAGGAATATTGATGATATCGCCGAAGAACATATTAAATCTGCATCAAGAAAAGTAGCCAACAACATAGATAATACGGCCAAAAAGCACCGAACCACCAAATCCAGAACCCATAAAGATAAGGACGGGCATGATGTAGTTCAAGAAGTTATTGTCCACGGACAAAAAGCGGGCCAAGCTAATGGAAAATTAGTTGGATTGTTGTCAGTGACAACTGTATAAATTGTAGATATTCTTTTTTTACCTTCACACGAAAATGTATATAGTTCCTCTATTAAAATATCTTCCATATAATAACCAAATAAATTAAAGTTATTATAAAACATAAGTTGAAGGCTGAATCCATTTATTTGTAAAGCAGTTTTTTTAAATGTTGTAAATATGCTTAAATTGTAATGTTTTATATTTTTTTTTTAAACGGGACATAGAAAGCTTAATTTTTGGCCTAGATAAGGAAAAACAGCTGAAAATGTTAGATTTCGAAAATTTCTCAATTATTTTCATATATGATTGAACTATTTTATGTAAGTTTCTTTATTTGAAAAATTATTTTTTAAAATTAAAAGATGATATGAAAAATGTTGCTTTTTAACATTAATTTATTACAATAGATAAGTTATATTATGTGAAGTTTTTCCATGTCGTCAATATTATTCTTCAAACAGTAATTAAGCTTATTGAAAATGTGATGTTCTTATATACTAGGGTTAGGCTGTACATATCAAGTACATATATAACTAGGTAGAAAATTTTCTTATGCTAACTACAACCTATACCTTGGCTTGGATATGCCTGTATTCGAATTATATAGAATATTTACTTTTATTATATTCGAAGGCATTATAAGAACTTTGGTAGGTTTTGTTTTATTTGATAAGGTGTCATTTGAAACTAAATATATGACAGAACTGAATGATTAGGTAGGTACTGCATTGCAAGATTGGTCATCACTCTCCAACTAACATTGGGTAATGTGCCTGAGGCACCATTTGTTTTAGTAGCATCTTTCAGTTAATAATTGAATAATCCGAATAAAAAATCAAATGCTGATAGGTCCGGATAGCGCGCAGACCAATGAAAATCACCTCCATTAGAAATAAAATTTCCAGAAAAAGTATTTTTTCAATTTACAATCAGAGAACGCAACGCCAATCCCCTGATATTTTTGAGACTATCTGACTTTAGAACCTGAGCATGTTGCAACACAGAAGGTTGATGGGTTCGTTCGATCGCAATTCGCATGGTCTCAATGTTTTCCAAAGTTCCTTGTCTTCTTAGCGAAGCTTTAAACGTAGTTAGAAAGTTTTGCACCCACAACAGCATTGAATTTTTTGAAGAAATCCTTTGGAGGTATATATTGAATTGCTAGCAGAATCTTCTTTGCTTTTACCTGTGCTCTTACTAATACTTTATTTTTTATTATGTATGTATTTAGGTATGTACTTTGCACCTATTTTGAGTTTTTCTACATAAATTATTTCATTGACACAAGCACACAAATGGACACAAAAACATTGCTCCAATGACTACCTAAAGTTTATTAGGATGTGTTACATATTTAGTGTAAATGATGCCTTAGATTAAGGTTTTTTTAATACGGATTTATACAGGGCATTTATGTTAACATTAAAAAACCATTAATGTCAATATAAACAATTGATGTCTATAATAATATTAATACATAGTACCAATATAACCCATTTATTATAAATGTTATGATAAAATTATTGTATTTATTAAAAGTTCTTCAAAACGCTTTTAACTGTTTTCCAAAAAAAAAAATTAGGATACCTAAGCCATTTGAAAAAACATATATATGTGATATTTGTTTAAACAATTTTTAATCAAGCCTGCTTTGTAGATAAGGGTTAAATTACTGTTCATTAATGTATTTATCTATATTTGGGACTAAAGAAAATACTGGGTGATCTAATGGAACATCGTTTTACATAGTAGTAGAAGGTAGTCTCCTCGGGAATATGATAGGTCGCCAAAAAAAAAAAACATTAAAGAAAGTGATTTTGGTTTTATTCAATACACTACTGCGTATTTCTGTATATTATTAATACCTATTTTTGGATTAAATAGAAAGTTTCAAGCACATTTTGTATCTATTAAACTTATTTGAAAATATCAGCAGACAAAAATAACTACTTTACTGCTTTTGGCAAGCACCTTCACAGTTTTTTTGGGAGCTTGTTTTTGACTCATAAGCATCTGGAAAATGCAATAATTATTTTCTTAGAACGCCCTGCTTACTGGGATGCCCATATATATATGGAGAAAGCCTATAGGAATACGCCTTATGTATTGAAAATTTTTCATAGAATTAAAGAAATATATTGTATCTTGATGACTGGTATAAAAGCTAAACAGTATTCGGTCCCCATTGGATCACTCTGTAAAAATATTAAAAAAAATATATATTTTGCTTTTAGCAAGCACTGGTATTTAATGAAATTCTAGAAACACCTAGCTGTAAAATCAGTGTCAAATAAATAAAAATATCGGCATATATGCCTATGTTAATGTTTTATATCCTATTTATAATCCTTATCATCCAAAAATTCCATCGAGTCCAAGATCTGGAGTCTTTCAGTTTCTCTAGGAAGAAGTGACTCAACAAGTTCATATTCTGTATATGGAAAGAGTGCAGAATTTTTAAAATTATGGTAGACAAAAGACCATGAGGTTCCATTTTGTGAAGTTAAGGATTGCATGTTGGCTATAATTTCTTTCCCAAAGATGGAACAGACCTCAAAATTGTCCATGGTTGTTGAATGATCTCAAACACAAGTGACGAACTGTTCAATAAATTAGTGGATACATGTGTAAAATACTACTGGTAGCAGATGTCAGCCACTTGGGTTGGCACTAATCTTCTCCTATGTGGTACAAAATCATGTTACATTTTGTTGAAAAATTGACACCTACATGTTTTAGACGTTGAAAATTAGAATCACTATCCACAGACAATGAAGTCAGTATTTGCATCAAAAACTGAGACCCAAACTTTCTCAATTTTCTCTAGACTTCACCGCCCGGTCAGTAGCAATTTCAGAAAATATTCTGGCCTTGCTCAAAAACACTACCGCACAAACTTCAATATTCAGCATAAAACAGTTGACACAAGAAAACGTTCTTAGCAATAAATGTTAGGGGAGAAGTAAACTGAGGAAAGCCATATTCTGTATCGAGTCTTGTTACCCAATTGCGTTTCTATACGTAGAGATGGCGCTACCAACATAATAATGGTCACTGTAAATAATGGGATAAAAGATAATAAGGTAGTGGAAGGTTATATGCCCATGTTGATGATATGCCCACACAGTGTAATTTAAACGCATTTCAAGTGTACGATCCACAGATGGCGCCAGATGCCCTTTTAGTGAGTATCTACCGGACTCTAGAATAAATCCAGGCCGCTCAGTGCTTTACCGGACATAAGAGAGTACGTACACGATTTTGGACGTCTCTGATCTAAAAAAGTGCAATTTTCAATTACGTGACAAGTGGAAGTGAAACGTTCTTTTGCAATTGTGATCACCTTATTTGAAAACCTACAAATTGGCCTTTATTTTCATACATAATTTGTTGCAAAATATTTTGAGGTTAGTAAAAAAAATTGAATAAATTTAAAAAGCATACATTGTTGATAATATGCCCAATGGGCAATGTTGATATTATGCCCATTGAGCATATTACCATCACTTGCACAATAATTCACTAATAAGAATTATTTTTTAAAGATGCCAAAGTACAAATCAAGAGGGCTTGGGTCCCAGTGGTCTGAAGACAATCTTCAACGGGCCCTGGTGCAATAGGCAATGGTGAATCAAAGAATGCAGCCTCTAAGAGATTTGAAATATCAAGAAGAACTCTTAATCGTTACCTAAACAAAGGAAAAAACAAAAAACAAAAACTTGGAAGAACTGTTTAAGGAATAGATGAGGAAACTGAACTGGTGACAAGAATTGAAATGTTGGCTGACGTAGGTTATCCTCTCACGAAACGAATGGTTCGAAGAAGCGTTTTCAATTACTGTGAGCAGAAAGGTTTGCCCAATGTTTTTTCACAGCAAAACAAATTAGCTGGTCGCTGCTGGCTTTATTTCTGCTAGCCGAGCGCAGAGTATGAACCCGGCAAGAGCTCAAAAGCTCAACAAATTCATCGTTACCGACTATTTCAATAAGCTCAAAAGTGTACTGTTGGAACTGGATTTAATGGATAAACCAGGAACATGGTCATCTTCAAGTGGCACTTCAGATGATGACGATATGTCTCTCTACAGTGACAAGTTGTCAGAAACTTTTACTTCAGAAGAAGAGCGAGACAGAGAAAATCAAAAATCCGAAAATTCTAAAGAGAACAAAGGCAAAGAGGCAAAATTATGTTTAAGAAGAGGTAATGAAGCACAGCAAACGCTAAATATCACAACTCAACAACGACTGAAACACCTAGAAAAAGAATTAACGAACAACACAGAAGATGAAGAAAATCCCAAAGAAGCGAATGATCAAGAGGTAGACGTAAATAAAGAAAAAAGACAAGAACCTGAAACTAAACAAATTCAAGAAGATAAAAACACAACAGTCAATGAAAAGAAGGTAATACACGAAACAAGTTTTCACGAGATGTTGGAAACTCCATATAAAGATGACAATAAGAAAACACAAACATCAAGAAAAGCAATCCACAGTAGGGCAGTTGTTGTAAAACAGGCGGTTTTTCATGAAAAAAACACTAATTCAAAGAAGAAAACTACTGAAAAACAAGTAAGCAAAACATGTTTGAAAATCAAAAGTAAGATAAAACAAAATCCAAAAGCATCAGCTGAAAGCTGGTACTGCAAAGTCTGCGAGATATAAAAAAAGATATGAGACTGTGCTCGGCATGTTTAGTGTACGTGCATGAGGAATGCGTCGGACTTACTAAATCTGATAAAACTATTTTTTTTTTATGCACAGATTTTGACATTTAAATATAATATAAGTATATACTTAAGAATAATATATTATGTATTATATACCTATATCCTTTTTCAATAAAAAAATATAAGTATTTTCTCAACAAAATCGAAACTGTGTGAAATTATTTCTTAAATTTACACTTAAAATATATAATTTATTTTATACTACATACTCACATGCATTGGGCATATTACCTACATATGGTGGGCGTTTTATCAACATAGGTAGATAATACGCCCAGTAGGGCCAATT